GGGCTAGTATGCAGCGGCAGGGGCAGGGGCAGGGGATTGGGGGGGGGGGAGGGGGCTGGGCCAGGCCAGGTGTCCTGGGTACACTGCTGGGTGCTGCAGGGTCTGAGGAGGGGGAGGGTGTAGACCCCAGCGGTGCATGCCTCATGCCTGCTGTGTGCCTGGCCAGCTACCTGTCGGACCTGGAGCGCCTGGTGACCCCTGGCTATGTCCCCACGGAGCAGGATGTACTGCGCTCCCGTGTCAAAACCACAGGCATTATCGAGACGCAATTCTCCTTCAAAGACCTCAACTTCAGGTAGGGGCTGAGCCCCAGTGTGGCCCAGCAGCCCCTCCACAGGGGCTGGCCATGGGGCAGGGAAAGGGCTCTGCCCCAGCTGGGTGGGCTGCAAGTCACCCTCCACTGGTGACTGGGCACAAGAACGGGGGAATGCTGATGACTGCCTGTCTTGCCTAGGATGTTTGATGTGGGCGGCCAGCGCTCAGAGCGGAAGAAGTGGATCCACTGCTTTGAGGGGGTAACCTGCATCATCTTCATTGCAGCCCTCAGCGCCTACGACATGGTCCTGGTGGAGGACGGGGTGGGCTCCAAGTCACCCTCCACTGGTGACTGGGCACAAGAACGGGGGAATGCTGATGACTGCCTGTCTTGCCTAGGATGTTTGATGTGGGCGGCCAGCGCTCAGAGCGGAAGAAGTGGATCCACTGCTTTGAGGGGGTAACCTGCATCATCTTCATTGCAGCCCTCAGCGCCTACGACATGGTCCTGGTGGAGGACGATGAAGTGGTGAGGGAGGGATGCAGGGCAGTGTGGCTGTGCTGGGGAAGTGGGGGATGCAAAGGCCCCCCCTCGTCCCCAGCCCAACACTGGGGCCGCAGTGGGGCTCATGGGGCCATGTCCCTCCCCAGAACCGCATGCATGAGAGCCTACACCTCTTCAACAGCATCTGTAACCACCGCTACTTTGCCACGACCTCCATTGTTCTCTTCCTCAACAAGAAGGATGTCTTCCTGGAGAAGATCAAGAAGGCCCATCTCAGCATCTGCTTCCCTGACTATGATGGTGAGGGCCGCACCAGCTCAACCACTGGGTGCAGTCAGACAGGGCAGGGGATGGTTTTGGGGTGCTAGCATCCTTCAGCAGCTCCCCACCAGGTGTCCTCAGCAGCCCATGCCAGTGTTGACAGTGCAAGGTTTGATGTCAGCACTGGGTAATGGGGCCCTGGCTAGGCCAACATCCATCGGTGGGGGCTGAGCCCAGCACCACAGAAGGGGTCCTGTCTGGTGGGAGGGGACCGTGGGGCAGCAGGATGATGGAGGGTGGGGTATGGGGTCCCGCTCACCGCTGTCCCACCAGGCCCCAACACCTATGAGGACGCAGGCAACTACATCAAGCTGCAGTTCCTGGAGCTGAACATGAGGCGGGACGTGAAGGAGATCTACTCCCACATGACCTGCGCCACTGATACAGAGAACGTTAAGTTCGTCTTCGACGCTGTCACCGACATCATTATCAAGGAGAACCTCAAGGACTGCGGGCTCTTCTGAGCCCCAGCCCCAGTGCTCCCCTCCCTGGCCTGGGTCTGCCTCTTCTCTTGGGTCCCCCCCACCAACTGCCTCCACTTGCCCACAAGCCCCAACTGCTTGGTCCCAGAGCCATCACTGGGCTCAGCCCCACACCCCCTCACTGGGTGCCCTTGGGTGCTGTCAGTGGGTGCCCCCAACTGCCAGATACCCCTGGGTGCTGGAGATACCTGGGTGCCCCTGGCTGCTGCGTGCTGAGGGGCACCAGGTGACCCTTTGTGCTAGGAATTGAGTATCTCTGGGTGACCTTGGGTGCTGTGGGGTGCCCCTGGGTCCTTGGTGCCACAGATGCTGCAGGGTGCTGGGTGTTCCTGGGTGATGGTTGTCCCCAGGGGACCCTGGGTGCCCCTGGGTGCTGGGTGCCCCAGGCCCTCCTCCCAACCTGAGTGCCATGGGGCCAGGGGAACGCTGTGGCCCCACTGGCAGTATCCCAGGCTGCTGGGCCAAGCACTGAACACAGGCTGGCAGTGCCAGGAGGCCCCTGGGCAGATAACCAGCCTAGCCCAGCCCAGCCCAGCCCCAGGGACTCTGTCCCTCTCCTCGAGGCTCCCATGACTGGTCCCAGCCCCATGCACCAGCCCATGGGTGCTGGGCCTGCCCAGGTCCCTGCTTGAAGCAGAGCCCCCTCCCCCCAACTGGAGGACTGGCAGGGGAGAGGCCCCTCAGCCCACGGGCCACGCAGCCCTCCTACAGAGGCAAGCAGCCATGCCAACCTTCAGGTTGGCTTTTTTTTTTTTCCTTTCTACATTTTATTATTTCAAACCATGTGAACAATTTGGTAAAACATCACGTGGTAAAAGCTAGGGCCGCAGCCACCGGTTCACTAGGAGCCCCGCGCTCCAGCCAGGGGCAGAGCTGGGGAGGGGAGAAGGGGGCCACTTTGTACAGCAGGGTTTCCTCGACCAACGCAACAGTTAGACCTACAAAAACTAGGCTTAGAAAGAAGAGAGGCAGCGGTACAGCGACCCGGCGGGCAGCCCCACATGCCAGCCCTTGAGCCGGGCCGCGCCGCGGGGAGGCCTGGGACGTGTCTCCCCCCTCCCGGCAGAGTGCCGGAGATAAGGGGTGGCTTTCAGCCCCCAGCCCCAAGCTCCTGACCCACGTGCGAGCAAGCCGGGGAGGGAGGGGGCGACCGTCCAAGACGCTCCTGCAAAGGCACACGATTTTGGTGGTGGTTTTTAACTGCAGAAGAAGAACGCACGAAGACGACGCGACCACTTAGCACTTGACGCTTTTAAATAGTTTCTTAAAAAGGTTTCTTTAAAAAGCAACGTAAACCAAGCTCTTTTTGTGTGTGTGTCTGTGGTGTTTTTTTTTTTCCTCTGTTTTCTAAAAGGAATGTTGTTGGTTGTGTTTTCTGGGTGGTGGGTTTTCCTTGCTGGTTTGTGCAATGCCAGGAAAGCCGGGACCTCCGTGTCCCCCCGTGAGAGCAACAGTTTGAATGTAAACAGTGAGAAAGTGATTTCTTGTAAGCAGATAAAAAGGAGGGTTTGGAGCAATCTCAACCAGTTAAAACCAAAGATTAAAACCTCATTTTCCCAAGCCTCTGGAGTTGAGAGGGGAAGCAAGAAAGGACCACAACGGTACAACCTGCAGCCACGGGCTTGTGGCCACGAGGACGTCTGCGGGGGGAGGCACGGGGTGGACGGGGGTGGCACGGGTTGGGCTGTAATGCAGCTGGGAAGCAGCGGCGAGCTCACCCCTGCCCCTGCCGTCACGGTCGTAACCAAAGTCTCTTTATGGGGTGGAGGAGAACAAAACAAGAGAAGAAAAGCAGAAGTCGTTACGTGGTGCGGTCCTTCCTTCCTCAGCCGCGGCTCTCCTGCCGGGACAGGCACGTCCGGTCACCCTAGGAGAGAGAGGCCCATAAGCGGGACGTGGTCCAGGCACAGGGTGCAACACCAGGCCATGGCCATGGGGCTGGACACCTGCAGCCAGCAGGCACCGTGGGTGCTGTGATGGGGAAGGCCGCCAGCTCTGATGCTGCCCGGCCAGGCACCCGGACCTAGCAGGTCCCGTTGGTGCCAGGGGCACCTGCACCCCACAGGGCCTTTCAGCGTGGTCAAAGGGGATCCTCCCTCCCATGGGCCACTGCCGGTGGAGGGCACTGCCAGCCTGCGTCATCCATGGGCACCCTCTCCCACCTTGCCGCCCGGCGCCGCTCGCCCTCAGAAGAGCCCGCAGTCCTTCAGGTTGTTTTTGATGATGACATCGGTGACGGCATCGAAGACGAACTGCACGTTCTTGGTGTCGGTGGCACAGGTGAAGTGTGTGTAGATCTCCTTCGTGTCCTTCCGCTTGTTCAGGTCCTCAAACTTGCTCTGGATGTAGCTGGCTGCCTCATCGTACTTGTTGGCCCCTGTGGAAGAGGCGATGCTGAGACACCAGCAGCACTGGCAAATTAACCCAAAGTGACCCAGAGACACTCCTGCCTTTCACTGAGCTGGGGCAGGCAAAGAGCAAAGCAGCCTTTACATTGGCCTGCAGCAACTAAAGTGTCTTTGCTTCAGCTCAGGTTCCCCAGCTGTGGCAGCAACTTCAAAAAAAAATTAAAGCTGCTTTCGATCTAGATGGGCAGCCCCCCCCAGGCAATTTAGTAACATTCAACAAACCCATTGCCTTCATTAATTCTGATGCGTCTTTCTAATCCTCCAAGGAGCCCACGTGAACCTGCCGTCACATGGCAGAGCTGGGAACTGGGTCTCTGATATGCCAGTGTGCAGCCTCCAGCCAGCTTAGGAAGCACCGTGGGGGCAGGCAGGCAGCAGGCCGGCAGCAGGCCATGGCTGGCTCCAATGGGCCACGACGGCAGTCGCAGGCTGCATGGGGGCAGTTGGCCACCGCAACGCCCGGTCCCCACTGATCCCACAGGTCCTGCAAGCTCCAGCATGGAGCCAGGCTCCCATTCACCCACCACCCTGGTGTCCAAACTTTTCCCCGGGGCCTCCCACCTCAATCTGCCCTTTGAAGCTACGTTTTCTAAGCCTCTTTATCATTTTTATCGCTTTCCTCTGGGCTCCCTCCAGTTTATCTACATGTTGCTCTGAGCGTGGATGCAGATCTGCTGCAGCCTTCCCACCTGACAAGCCTCAGATAAAGCCCTCTGGGGTTGCTTCAGACCTGGCACCTCCACCCCCTTCTACTCCATGTCCCCCCCTGCCCAACTCAATCTTCCCCTTCCCCTGAGCCAATGCCCGATTCGGGGCACCCCAGGCACCTCTGAACCCTACGAACCACTGCGGGCTCATGCAGTGCTGCTCTCGTCATGGCCCAACACTGCACCAGCTCTGAACCAAGGTGGCCATGCTCCCCCTGCCCGGGAGCCACTCGGACAGCCCTGAGCTGGGAAAAGCCAGAGGATTCGCTGCCATGAGTCCCAAGGACTTCTTGGCTAGGGAGGCCCTGTGGCTACCTGCTTCCTGCACCCCTGACCTAGCGTTCCTTCCTCATTTCCCCTTCCACAGCCCGAGCGTAGGAGAGCCACTGTTTCATCATTTCCATCACCAGCATCTCCCAGCTATGCACCAGGCAAGACAGATTTAGCAGTAAGTAAATCTTCATCACTGATAATGCTCCCTGGGCAAAGTACTGGGTCCCAGAGACTCTCTCTTCCCCTCCCAGGCTGCCTAGGCCTGGAGATGGAGGGGCCACCACAGTACCTGTGTACTCTGGGAAGCAGATGGTCAGGGGGCTGTGCACAATTTTTTCCTCAAAGAGGTCTTTCTTGTTGAGAAAGAGGATGATGGATGTGTCTGTGAACCACTTGTTGTTGCAGATGCTGTCGAAGAGCTTCATGCTCTCATGCATCCGGTTCTGGCAGGAGAGAAGGCAGTGATGTGCTGTGAGCCACGGAGGGACCCGCACAGTGTGGCCACCCTGGGGCCAGCCCCATGAGCCACCAGCCCCATACCTCCCACCTGCACTCCCAGCAGTTCCATCTGATTGTGGGGGAGACACTTAAGGCCCCGCAGAACTCGGGCCTGGCTGGCCAGTGTCCTTAGGCTAACAGGAGCCACTGGGAACTCAGGCCAGCTTGCCTGCAAAGCAGGTTGCTCCGCCACCAGCATGGGGTGAAGGTCTCTAGCACCCCAGACATGGGCACTCAGAGCACAGGGTGATGGAGAGGGTACCCTAAAAAGAGGGGTGCTGGTGAGGGAACAGCCCTTCCAACTGCAACGCCTGCCTGCCGGGAGGGTCCAATGGGTGCTTCTGGCAGTGCTGGCCCAGCTCTGACAAAAAACAGCCATCAGCTCGTTGGGAAGGCTGAAGGCAGTGCGTCCCCCTCCTCTTCCAGTCCAGTGTCCTGGGGTGCGGGACAGGCCATGGCAGCCCACATGGGTGCCAGCACTGACCCAGGCAGTTACACAGCCCTGCCACAGTCCCAGTTCCCCCGTGGCTCGGCCCGCAGGATGCGGTGGCCTCTGCAGCAAGCCTGTGCCTTCCCCTCCGCTCACCATCTCCTCATCTTCAGCCAGCACCAGGTCATAGGCGCTCAGGGCCACGCAGAAAATAATGGCCGTCACCCCCTCAAAGCAGTGGATCCACTTCTTCCGCTCTGACCGCTGGCCGCCCACGTCAAACATCCTGCAAGACGGAAGCAGCATCACAGTGGGCCCAGAGCTTGACAGCAGTGGGCTGCACAGCTCCAGGCCTGAAGTGAGGAGCATCTTGAAGATGCTGTCAGATATCTACTCTGGGGCAGATACTGCTGGTTTTTGCCACAGGCCTCCAACAGCTGGGCAGGCGTTCAGCCAGCAACCCTCCACTGGGGAGCCAGTTATGCTTGTATAAGTCGTTGCATTGCTGAACAGGATTAGAGGGCTGCTGCACAACACAGTGCGAGGGGCTGGGAGGATTGATATCCGGCAGCTTTGAATGCACGCTGACGCGGCACAGCTCGCTGCTTGTGCACCTCTCAGTCTGGGCAGCAGAGGATGCCCTGACTCCATGGAGAAGAGCCTGATAACAGCACTGCATCCTACAGAGCACAGGACCTTTCCAATCCCCCATTCCTGCAGAGCCCAGGGCAGCTCGGTGTGCAGTTTTACTGCAATGCAGGGTGAAGTCCCTTCAGGAGCAGAAGCAGTGTGGGCCACCCTGCCAGAGCCCTGTGCTGCTGAGACCAGGAGCTCCCCATTGACTGCCCAGCTTGGGCTTGTTGGCTCTCCACAGGGAGGATAGACTGCCTGGCTCTGTATATCTGCCTGGAGAGCCGAGAGCATCCCACACAGCCCAGAGCAGGCTTAGCACCCTGGAGCAGGCTCAGCAGGCCTGCAGCTGGGGCAGGCAGGACTGCGCAGTCTGCCCAGATCATCTCCAGCAGCCAACTTGGGGTTGCAGCCCAGAAGCTGGAAGCACGCCGAGCTGTGGGGCTGCAGGGCTTGCTTTTGGCAGGGTAAAGAGGCTGTATGTGCAGTACATGCAACAAGCCCTCTCTGAAGGGCAGAGGCAGACACCACTTCAGGACCAGAAGCTGGGCCTTGGTAGGCAAGCAAGCATGGTCATCCATTCTGGACAGCCAACTCTGCCTTGGGACACTGGCAGGGTGGCAAAGTGCCTGCGATGATCCCTTGGGCCCTATTGCTTTCATGACCAACTCTGGACTGGTCTGGAGGAGCTATAGCACAGACTTGGTCATGCCTGCCTAGCTTGGGGAGGGCTGTGGTGAAGGTTTCTGCCCACAGCCCAACCGGTTGCTGAGTGACTAATTCCCACTGGGACACGTGATGGGGTTTTGCCTTGGAAACGGCCTGTGCCTGAGCTGCAATTATTTACTGCACGTTTTTGGTGTAAAACAACCTTGGTATGTAGGTTGCTATCAGGCAACTAGATGCAAGTGGTGGTGACTGGTTGCGTCAGTCATGCAGCATGATTCGTGGGCCCTGCTTGAGCAAGGAGTGTTTCTGTCAGGAGACCCCTCAAACATGAATCCATCCTGTGCCCGTGGCATCCTGGCTTACATACTGAACTCTTCTGCTACAGATTCCCATTGCGGAAGTGATGTCATGGCTCCCATCTGTTCCAGCTCATTTTTCCAGGAACGCCTGCCAAATGCTCTTACTCCAAATCAGTCTGTCTCCATCCCACCTCTCCTCTCTGAGCTTGCAATGGGCTGAATCCTCCCACGAGGCTGAGCCATAGGAGCTCTGAAGGTGTTTTTTAGAACACTTCAGCTATTTTGGTGGGTTTCCACTCTCTGGTCACAGCCATTTCCTATCCCTGAGGACATTTGGGAGAAGCTCCTGTGAGCAACAGGGGCAATGAAGAGCTCATCAGCAGGCAGCTCCCCACCACCCGGCCTCCCATCCAAACTTGTTCTGCCTGCACACATCAGCCTAGGGAGCAAATCCAAGAGTACTCTGCAATTGCAAGCCCATGACAGCAGCATCTATAGCACTGAGCACCCTGGCCAGGCTATCATGTACCACTGCTGTAGTCAGCTCCAGGGCAGTAGCAGGTCCCATTGGCTTTGCCCCCACTCCATCTCCCACCTCCTGGTCCAGGGACAGCTGGGTTGGTGTGAAGGGTCAGCAACGCTGATCTCAGCAACAAAGTTAACAGCTGTAAGCACCTGGTTTTGAGCGAGAGGGTGATCAGCCCAAAGACACTCTCATGTATGAGGTTGATGACTACTGGCCAAACGTCGTATGCAGCCCAGACAGGCCCTGCAGCGGGAGGCAGGCTGCAGCCATTCATGGGGCCTGGTTCAGCGCTGCTCTGGCTTGGGAGAACAGAGCATGGCAGGGCAACGGGAGGCTTTACTTGGCCTGGAGCATTATGCTGCAGCCTCCCACGCAAGGCAGAGCAGCAGGTCTGATGCTGCTCTGTTCCCCGGGCTCAGCGTTGGTCCTGGGCGTGCCAGCCCGCATGGGCAAACAGGATGTGGCCCTACGAGGGGAAGAGAGGACAGGATGATTTTTGCCCCAGAGGAGCTGGGAAGGGGTTGGACTTACTTGAAATGCAGGTCCTTGAAGGTGAAATGAGTCTCTACAATGCCAGTGGTCTTCACCCTGGTTCGCAGCACATCCTGCTGGGTGGGGATGTAGTCGGCTCGGGCTATCCTCTCCAGGTCATTCAGGTAGCTGACAGGGAGCAGAAAGACACTACGTGAGCTGAGGTAGGCTGGCTGTAGCTGCAGGGGCAAATCCTGTCTGTGCCCCAGAGTCACTCTGCAGCTCTGGGGCCCAGAGAGGCTGTGCATGGGAGGGCAGGACAGGTCTGCAGAGCTCAGGTGGGCATCGGCCCCAGGGGAACGACATGCCCCAGGAGACAGTACAGGTGGCGTGCCACAAGCTGCCACGGTAGCGAAACAAGGGCTCGGGGCGGACACAGGGGCTCCGGGAGCAGACAGCTGGCACCAAGTGATGTCGGGAGGGTAGGATGCTGCTAGCTGGGGCCAGCCTGGGGCTGGGGGCCTCCCCCTGGCCGGCCAGGCCTTTTGCATCACATTAATGCACTTCAGATCACGGGGGAAATGGAAAGAGGAAAGTATTCATTGCTATGGCAACAAACCGCAGCGCGAGCGGAAACAATTTATGGCGCCGTGCCATTTATAGTCAAAAAAGACAAAGCCCTTCGTCCTGGGAGGAAGTGGGAGGCGCGCGCAGAGAGGGAAGGGGAGCAGGGCGGGTGGCGTAGTACTGTGCCAGGGCAAGATCACTGGCCAGAGGCTGCTAAGCGCCCCCACGCTCCCCTCTACTGGCATGGCCTGGGTGGCACCGGGCCCGGCTGATCCCCCCGCTGTGACAGCAGCTGGCCAGCAAGTGCCCTCTGCTCCGCTGAGCGCTCTGGCCATGCCAATTGCCCGGCACCTGGCCAGGGCTTCAGAAGAGACTCCTGAAGCCTTGGCAAAGATTTGCTCCCAAAGCAGCAGCACCCGGGACCAGCTAAGTGCAGCTGCAGGATCCCAGGGTGCTGGTGCTGCCTGGAAAGTCAATGCAAGTTTAAATTTCTCCAGCTCAAGTTGCTTTAATTGGGTTACTATAAACTGGATCCTTTAAGACAATTAGGCCTGCGCTAATCAGGGCCTTTGCAGCCCTGTAATCTAGTGAAAGCTGTGCTAAGCTCTGAGATGACAGATCTCTGTGCTGCGAGGCCAAGAGAAGGGCAGGCGATACTTGGCTCTGACGGTAGTGCAGCCACAAGCCACAGCTACAGGAAAACCCTCCAGCCAGCTCCCATCTCTGCCCCAGGAGCAACAGGCTGTGCAAAACGGGGTGCAGAGCTCTCCTTCCTCGCAGGCAACAAGCACCACAGGTCACCCGGCCCATCGTGCCCAAGCCAGGTCACAAAGCAATGGAGCACCCTGCCACGCAGCACGGGTGCCCAGTCAGGATTGTCGGTGGGCGTTGGTGCATGGATCCCAGGCAGCCAGCTGCGCTGCGGAGGGAGGCACGCTCTCCTTTGGCACAGCCTGACTGCACCTCCCCAGTGAGCTCAAAAACAGCCGGAAATGTATTCAGCCTCCAGATGACAAAAAAACAGGAAACAAGCACTCAAGAGGCAGGGCAGGGGCTGTGTGCAGTGCCAGCATTGCTCGGACCTCACACCCAGCATGCCACAGCACCCTGCAGGGTGCCCCGGCCAACAGCTCCTGGGCACATTCGCCACAGCAGGCCAGCACCAGCCCCAGGTCCTCCCTGGTGCAAGGGATCTTTCCCAAGGTGCCTCCTGCAACTTGGCACAGTGCAGCTGAGGGCTTAGCCCTGAGATGAGGAAGGCTTGCAAACAGCAATCCTCCCACCTCTTTTATCCCAAACTTTTTGCACCCTGAACTGCTCTTCAGGAGGAGTCCCTTGTGCAAATGCTCTGGCTTGCTGCAAAGGGCTGGAAACGCAGTGGGGGAGGCGATGATGAGAGGCTGCAGCAGGGCTGGCCAGCACTGGGCTCTGTGCAGGGTCTGGTAAAAGGCTCCCAGTCCCCAGGGTGCCCTTTGCTCTGGGATGCCCCAGCCAGGAGCAGCCAGCCCAGCCTGAGTTGTACCCTGGCCTCAAACCTCACTAACCTTCGGGCTTCACTCCAGAATAGTAGTGGAAGAGCCTCTGAACTCACAGATGAGGGCAACTTGTGCCGTCTCCCGTGGGCGAAGGTACAAGACAGGGACAGGGCTGATACCCAGCACAGGCTGACACGTGCACTGCAAAGAGCACCGCAACCACAGCACCTTCTCTGCACGTGGAGACAACTCCAGCATCTTCCCCTTTCGACGGCACAAGTTCACCAGCTCAGATCTCCCACTGAAACCCCCTTAGGCTCCCTCCCTTTGTTCGGGCTGGGGACATCTCCCCTCTCTCTCAAGCGCAAGGGACATGTTCAGCCAAGACCTGAAACAGCCCAAGTTCTGGGCAGACATGCACAAGGGGCAAAGAGGAGTAAAACAGACTGCCTGGGTCCACCTGGAGCTAACCCATGCCATAACAATCTCTTTATCATCCCCCCTTGGGCACCTTGCACAGAGATGATAGATTTTTCCAATGCAAGAAGTCCCAGTTGCGGGGGAGTGAACCCTGGCAGCCCCATGTTCAGCAGCAGCTGGCTACTGTTCACTGGGGACAGAGGGCAGTGCGCAACAGTGGATTTGGATAAAGGGTTGGAGCAATAGCTCATTAGCATGAGTCAGAGAGGCTTGTTAATTAATACGTGTCCAACACTCCTAACACACTGAATGCTCCATAAACGCCATTATGATGATCCTCAATTTGCAGATACTTTGACTGAAGATACATTTGCTCAAATTGTGTGTCTGACCTGCCAGACATTTGAAGGGTCTCTTGTGTCTCCAGAATAATAAATACCTACTAATTAGAGCTTACACAATATTCTGCATCCAAGAATTTGAAAGCTCTTCACAAAGGCTGGTAAGGCACTTTCAGCCTCATTTCACAAGAAGGGGAAACAGGGACGCAGCAGCAACAGCCAAACCTAGAATCAGACACTGATTTACACTCACGTATGCTCTCTTGCCTCCCAAAATTGCTCTCCTACACCTGTATCTTGCAAAAGAAAGAAAAGACAAGGAAGGAAAAGTCAGCAAACTTTTTCTGACACACAGAAAAGCATTTATTCTCCAAAGTCATGGGATCTCAGCTCTACACACAATTAGATACTGCCAGGAGGCAGCAAGTGCATGATGCCCAGAGAAACTGAAAGATGAGGCTTTTAGAGTTCTTTCTAAACAATGATTATCTGGCTCAAGTAAGTGCTTGCATCTTACCTCACTCCAACACATTCCCTCATCACAGCTGGAAGCGGGGTTAAGCTCTGAAACTCTACATTTGATTAGGTACCAAAAGTTTTGAAGGTAAACAAAATAAGAGCTATTCACAGTTGCCTTTCTGAGCTCGTTTATCCAGCAACACTGACATCCAGGCCCTGATCTCCTCCTCTGTAAGCAACCTATCTGGATACCCCGAGACAACTTTGGATGAGGTTTCCAGCACAAACCTGCCTGCACGAGAGGATTGCCCATCCCAAGGCAATCACTATCTGCCCTATGCTTTGGGACCCCGCAGATATGCCTGGGTGGTCTATGTCCTCCTTAGGTTGGAGATGGGGAGGAAGGAACTCAGCAAGGAACCACTGCCATAGCTGTTGGGAGGCTATGGTCGCTATGGTCGCTCACGCCGCTGGACCACACGTGGCCCACAAGCACTGGGAGCTGCTGCCCCCAGGACGGTGCAGGCAGGCATGAGAAGAGCCCCCAGGATGCTTGCAATGCCTGTTGTGGATGTTTGCTAACACCGGTGGGCATGGCAGCCCACAGCTACCCCACAGCTCTTATACGGCAGCTCAGGACAAGCAAAACCTCAAACTAAGCCCCTAAAACCAGGGAGAAATACAGAGGCTATGTGGCTGACAGCTGCAGGGGATAACTCCCAGCAATTTCCCCTTCATACGCAAGCACCAGAAGAACCGTCCGACTAGATCAAGCCACAGGGAGGGATGGAGAAGCGGCTAAGTGCTCACAAGGATGGGGAGGAGAAAAACCCTGAGCAAATGTTTCATGCTGTTCCCTAGGACAGCAGAAGCAGGATGACTAACAGGGCCAGAGTAAGAGAGGAGAAACCTCAGTGTGTAGGCATGTAAGTGGGGGTCATGGTCTTGAAGAGCACACACAGGCACTGGTACCGCAGGTTGAGCAGTAATGGCTTTGGGGCCTCGCATTTGGTGTGGCCCATATGACCACAGCTTTGCAACGGGCTGGGGAGAGCAGAGCAAAGAGGAGGAGGTTTGCAGAGCGCTGGATAAAGGCCAGTTGACGAGACTGGCACATCCCCCCAACAGCTCCTCAGGTCAGCTGAGGAAGCACAGCACAGCACAGCTCATGGATGGAGGGTGGACGAAGTGTGGGCTTCACCGAGAAATCACAACAGCGACTGCTAGGAAAGATCAGACGTAAGGCCAGGGAAAGGAGGTGAGGAGTTGACTGTGGAGGAACTGAAAGCAGCAGGCACCGAACAAGGAAGCACGAGGCCAGAGGAAATCAGCTGTGGGGTTTTCTTAAGGAGCAATTCTTGCGGTGAAGTTTTATGCAACATTTTCCTCAATGATCTCAGTACAAAAGAGAGACCCGCTAGTGCCAAAGTGGAGCACCAGCGGTACCAAGGGAGGCTGCACTGGCTTGTGGACGGATCAAACAACCCCAAGGACTGTGGCCAGCCTCAGCAGGGCCAATTGCCTGGCCCATCACACATGCTCCCCATGCCCTTCAACTTAACACCTCTTCCATAATGACACTTTTTTTTACTGACGGGGCTGCTGGCCTGGGAATAGAGAGCAAGAGAGCACCAGTGCTCCAGACCACAGCGAGACAGAGCTCAGCTTCAGCTGTGTGATGCTGTCCAGGAATAATACTTTAGGCAGATTAACTTATTTATTAAATCTCTTCAGGGATAAACTAAACCAGATGTAGTCAATTTATGTATCTAAACACTAGTTTGCCTGCTAATATGCAAATGTAATGCTCATTTCCTCCATATAAACTCAGGGGCCCTGGTGGCAAAGGATACAGAGAAGGCAGAGATATTGAATGCCTTCTTTGCTTCAGTCTTCACTGCTAAGATCAACCCTCAGGAATCTTGGA